AACTTAGCAAGATACTGTTTCAAAATAAAAATATAAAAAATGGCTCTGTGTTTAGCTCAATGTGAAAGCCTTGGATTCAATCCCAGCAACCCCCTACCACACATCCACATACATACAATGAATTTATGTCACTGTCCAGGTCGATAGTGTATAAAACATAAGCCCTTCAAAGTAGAGAATTTTATTATATTAAGCTCACAAAGATGCAGGGGGAGCAGAGATAGGACAGAGGGAAAGTTAGAAAAATTTAATCTTCAGGATTGACATTGCTAGCTTTGAAGATGGAGGAAGTGGGGCGAGGTGCACGAGTTAAGAAATGTGAACAGTCTCTAGGACATGAGCTCTTTAGGACCCACTTACCAGCCAACAAAGACCAAACACAAACAGAAGAAAATAAACCTCGCACCTTATTCTTGAAATATTGAGTTCTCCCAACTACCTGACTGTACTTGGAAGTAAAATCATCTCCAGAGCTTCCATATGTATAGAACCTTGATTTTAATTTGAGAACCATGGAACTGAAAAACAACTGAATGACATTCTACCTGGACTTCTGACATAAATAAACTGTAGATGGATATTTTTTATGATACTAAATTTCAATAAGTTGCCATGTCACCTATACAAAATTAGTATTCCAGTACAGGACAAATAATGTGTTGTGGATAATGAGAACCAGGCTTCTCCCTGTCAGAGAAAGCATCTACAAATCAGAAAAAGACTAGAGTTGACTGGCATTAGATTTAAATTGGAAGTGTCCATATATTTATACCCTTTATTTTATCACAAAAATATGAGTCTAGGTGCTGTGGCCTTTGCAAATCCAATGAACATTGTCTGGGCTGTATGGCCAGTGAAATGAAATAAAAGGGATATGTTACTTCTAAATTTAGGTCATGTTGACACTGTGGTTTCAGATTTTGTACTCTCTGTCTCTGTCTCTCTCTCTCTATATATATATACATATAAAATATGCAGATGTATGTATATATATGCAGATGTATATACAGATGTTTTTTATATACAGATATATACACACACACATATATATACAGTGTTGTATATACACAGTTGCATATACACAGTGTTGACATGAAAATCTTGGTTTTTAAATGTCATGTTTCAATAAACACAAGGAGGGATCCTTGCAGAGGGGACATAGAAAAGGAACTGGAGACATTCACTGGTGCCAAACAGTAATAATGGAGTCAGTGATACAGACATGTGTTACCAGGTGGAGGGTGCTCCCAATGATTCACTATGAAAGTTTGTTGAAACTTTAGTAAACAGCATCCCATAAATTAACAAAAAAATTATACAAAAATAAGTGAGTAAATATAACAAGGGGCGTGGGACAGCTCTTTTTGAGAGAATTTCAATTAATACATATTAAAGAGGTGATGAATATAGAGCAATCACTATTGATAAAAACCTCATTACATGCATGCCAGAATCATCAATGGGTGCCAAACCCAGGGGTGAAAGTTTGTTAAGAAATAGGACATTTGTATGGCCTCCTAGTATCTCTTCAGAACAGAAAGAGGAAATATAGCAGTCATTGCGAGTAGATACACAGCTTAACCAAAGGATCAAAATTCCATAATACACAGACATCATGCATTCATTGGCATAAGGTACTAGGGAGAATATGACATCATTTCTATAGTATTGTTGCCAAAAATGTATATCAATACAAATTATAAGAAAGCATCAGACAGACCCAAGTTGAGTAAAACAGTTTACTCGACAAAACAATTCTTCAGTAGTTTTCCAAAACATTAAGCTCCTGAGTGCCAGCCAGCCCCGGATCACCCCAGTGATCCTTTCTCCCCGTTTGCACATATTTTTGTGGTTTCCTCACACACTGTTGCAGACATGGTAGGCCGAAGTCTAGCGATGCTTTCCCCTCTGTCTTATACAACAAAACGAGTCTTGGTGCTATGCTAAAAGATCTTTGCAGATGCAATGAACATTGTTTGCACCGTATGACCAGTGAACTGCAATAAAAGAGATATGTTACTTCTAAAATTTGGTCATACAAGACACTGTGGTTCAAGATTTTATTTTCTCACTCTCCTGTGTACCATTCACCTCTGCCATGTCATGAGGCCCTATGAAAAGGCCCACAAGCTGAGAAATGGAGTTCTTTAACCCTCACATAAACACATTTTGACAGGAAGGTTATCTAGTCCTGGGCATATCTTTAATGATTCTATAGTCCCAGTCAAAATCTTTAATGCAATCACCTGAGACCTCAGATCAGACCCATGACATACACCTGCTCCTGAATTCCTGACCCACAAGAACTTAAGACAATAAACATTTGTTTTAAGCTACTCGAGTTTAAAACTGTTTGGGACTCAGCAACAGAAAAGAAATATATCATGAAAGAAAAGATGGAGAACTATTACAGATTGGAAAAAACTAAGGACTCATAAGAAACAAATTTAATGTGGGATCCTAGTCTGGATCCAGAGTAGGTAAAGACCATTGGTGATCAATATGATTTACAAGTACTGTGCCAAGCACTTTGATAAACCAAGATGAGCTAAATTTATCCCTTCCAAAAGTACATTACTTCTGTAAATCTCAGATGCTTTACAATACTACTATGTGAGAGAAATCTCCCAATACATATTTCATAATGAATGCAGTTTATATTTAATTAAATACATTTGTTAAGATATTCAAAATTAATTAAATTACATTCAATTTCAAAAGTACAATTTTCCTTTCCCAACCATGAGTGTGCTTATATTCACAAACTGAGATGAATCAAATTTCAAAATCTGTGTCATTTAAGTCATTTGCTCTAATGTAAACATTTTGATTTAATAAAAGATATATATATATACATATATATATATACACACACTTATATGGCAAAGTCATTTACAATAAATGAAAATTTAAATAGTCTAAAATTTTATTTGTATTTTCTTCCAATTTACATAGTAAAATGTAGAGTTCTTTCCAGGTGAAGAATTTCAATTTGAATTTTCTGAAATAGGAAGTCAAAATGTCACAAGTGCTAAGATAATGTATCCAATGATATACAAAATTGTAAGTCAACTGATAAGTTCAAACATTGATTATAATCATTATAAATTGTGAAAATCACATTTTGTGAAATTTTTTTCTGGGTGTAGCAAATTAGCACATATAACCTAGGTCACTGATGGCAAAACTTTTAGAGCTTTTAATGTCAACAGCCCACTGTGACACATATGCCAGAGGTTCGCCACCACCAACCTAGATGAATCCCAAAGCAAAAGGAATGGTCTTAAATGATAATAGTGTCTGTGTCACCCTATCATGGAATGAGGTATGCTTTCTACATATGAATAGCATAAATAAAAAGTCAGATTCCTTTTTAAGTGTCAAAATGACTATTCTACTTTATATCATTTTCATTAAAAGTTTGTAAAAATATAACTTATAAAACTGAATACATTCAATACAGGGTAGCGTAGCCCTTGATAACTAAGAATCTTTGTGAAAGCCAATTATTTACTAAGCTGTTATCAAGCTATTTCTATGTGTGGGGTGAGATTTTTTTCTGATCTCTAAAATTAAGTGGTCCCAACTGAGAGTGTTTGTGTAGTTATTCCATTTCCTTTGTTTTCATTTCACTTTTTCTTTTTTGGTACCAGGAGTCAAACTCCCAACCTCACACTTGCTGGGCAGGTGCTGTGCCGCTGAGCTACATCCCTGGCCCTCACTTCACATTTCTATCAGTGAGGTTCTCAGGATTTGCCACTCAAACACAGAAAGTCCTTTAGGCTTGGTTCCACCACGTGGAAGCATTTACAATGTCTCTTGCTGAGTGGGAGGGGGATGCTGAACCAGGGATCGAGGGGTCGTATGTGTATTCCCCTATCTATCTTGCGTATCCCTTTGGTTGCTGAAATTTTGTTTCCCAAGACAAAATTTGTAAATTTTTGGCAACCTTTTACCTTTGATGTTTGTTGTTTAAATATTCCTGGTTAAGTCGCTCTATCCCTCTGATTACTGACCCGCTGGCCCTCTCCTGTGACATCCAAGTGTGCTCCCTTGTCTAACTCCTAATTCAGTCCTTCCTGAATTGCAGCGTACACTGCTACAAGGTTCTTGAACGATCCTTGCCCAGAGATTGCCACCAAACAAAATCTGTGAAATTCCGCCAACTTCCACAGCTTCTGGTGTTGACTTCCTACTAGATCTTTACTCTCAGCTTGCACTGTCCTGCTCAGTGTACACAGAACACTGCCTGTAAAAACCTACCCTAGGAGAAGACTGATAGGAGAAACCTAATGAGCCTTGAGTTTGCAAAAACATTCAAATGTTAAATTTCAAAATGTTTTTCCCCCCTGCACAGGTTTAGGAAGTCAGGGCCTCCAGCACAATAGGTAGGTCGTGCTTCACTACCGAGCAACACCCCTAACTCTTCAACACTGCCTCAATCAGGAAAATTCATAACAGTAGTAAAAGTTGTCTTTGTGGATGTTGACTGCTATTTCCTCCATATTCTGAGTTAATGTGATATAAATATGACCTGAATAAATGGAGTGATAAACTGAGCTCTACCACTGAGCTGTGTACTCCGAGCCCTCTTTTCGTGTATCAGTGGCACTTTTTATTACTGACCAGGTTCTCTCCTCTGCAATATATGCAACTGAGTAATACCATCACAGGATCATAAAAATTAAGTGTTAAAAACTCAACAAAGGGGCTGGGGATTTAGCTCAGC